GGTGGGACCTGGCTTCTGGCTTTGGCCTGGCCCAGCCCTAGCCTTGGGGAGTGAATCAGAGGACTGAAGATCTCTCTGATGTCTCTCTCTCCCTCTCTAGCTTTCATTCTCTCTGTGTAACTCTTTAAAATAAATAAATAAATCTTTAAAAAAAGAAAGAAAAAAACTTCCAGAGCTGGCACTATAGCAAACTGGTTAAATCTGCTGCCTGCAAAGCCAGCATATCATACAGGTGCTGGTCCCAAAACCTGGCTGCTCCATTTTTAATTGAGCTCCCTTCTAATTGTCTGGGAGAAACAGTTAAAAATTACCCAGGTGTTTAGGCATCTGCCAGCCATGTGAGAGACCTGGAGGAAACATCTGGCTCTTGCCTTCAGCTTGGCCCAACCCTGGTTGTTGTGGCTATCAAGAGAGTGAATCAGCAGATGACCTCTCTGTTTCTCCCTCCCCCTCTGTAACTCTGACTTTCAAATAAATAAATATTTCAAAAAATAGAAATAAAATAAAATAAAAAATATAAAAAAGTAAAAAATAAAAATCTTCCAACCAAGAATATGATAACCCACAAAGCTATCCTTTAAAAGTAAAATAAGGTATTTTCCAGACAAGTAAAAATTAACAGAATTTACCACTACCAGACCAACCTTACAAGAAATTCTGAAGGGAGTTCTGCATTTAGAAGAAATATCATGAAACACATGACACCACCAAATTCATCAACTGAAAAGTTATAATGAATAATCAACAAAATGACAGGTATTATTTCTTATCTATCTATACTGATCTTGAATGTAAACAGGTTAAATTCTCCAGCCAAAAGACTTGGGTCTTTTGACTTAAGTCTTAAAGACCCACTTTATGCTGCCTAAAAGAAAGACACACACAGACTGAAAGTGAAGGGATCCAAAAAGATATATCCGGCAAATGGACACTAAAAATTAGCAGCAGTATCTAACCTCATATCAAATAAAACAAACTTTGAAACAAAAACTGTAAGGGCTGGCACTATGGTGCAGCTTGTTCAGGTGCTTCCTACAGTGCTGGCATCCCATTTGGGCAACAGTTTGGGTCCTAGATGTACCTCTTCTGATCCAGCTCCCTTCTAAGGTGCCTTGGGAGGCAGCAGAAGATGGCCCAAGTCCTGGGGCACCTGCAACCACATGGGAGACCCAAATGAAGTTCTTGGCTCCTGGCTTTAGATTGGCTCAGCTCTAGCCACTGCAGCCATTTTGGGAGTGAACCAGTGGATGCGGGATCTCTCTCTCTCTCTCCATCTCTTTCTGTAGCTCTTCCTTTCACATAGACAAATAAATATTTTTAAAAATTGTAAAAAGAGACAGAAAATGATATTACATCTTGACAAAATGTTTGATTCAATAAGAAGTTGGAAGAACCATAAATATATAGGCACACAACACAAGACTAAGCAGATATGTACAGAAAATACTATTAGACTCATTAGACTATTAGGGAAAGATAGACTCCAATACAATAATAGTGGGTCACTTCAAAATCTCCCTCATCAATGGACACATCATCCAGGCATAAAATTAATAAATACACATTAGAGTAGAAACATACTATCAAGCAAACGGACCTAACAGACACTTACAGGACAATTCATCCAACAGCTACAGAAAACACATTCTTCTCATCAGTGCATGAAACATTTTCTAGAATGCAGAACATATATTAGGCCACAAATCAAGTCTTGGTAAATTTATAAAGACTGAAATCCTAACATGTATCTTCTCAGAACACAAAAGAATAAAACTAGAAATTAACAAGAAGAACAATAGAATATTCATAAATACATGGAAGTTAGACACATGCTGCTGAATGATAAATGGGTCATTGAAGAAATTAAAAATGAAATTAAAAACTTACTTGAAATAAATGAAAATGAAAACACAACACATCAAAATCTGTGAAGTACAGCAAAAGAAGTATTGAGGGAAGTTTGTAGTATTATGTATTTATATTTAAAAAAAGAAATTTCTGAAGTAAAATATCTAAAGATACATTTCATTGACTTAGAAAAACAATAACAAACCAAACCCCAAATCAGCAGAAGGCAAAATTTAACGAGGATCAGAGCATAAATAAATGAAATTGAAACTAAAAAACAAACAAAAAATGTTCAACCAAAAGAAAAGCTGGTATTTGTGAAGATAAATAATATGGATTAACCACAAGACAAAATGACAAAGAAAAAAGAAAAAACTCAAATACAATTAGAGATGAAAAACTAGACATTACAATGGACACCACTGAAATACAAATGATCATAAGAAACTACTATGAAAAACTACATGCTAACAAACTTGAAAGCCTTGAGGAAATGGATAAGCTTCTGATTACATAAAACCTACCAAGATTAAATCAAGAAAACTATAGATCATATAAAACAGACCCATAAGCAATGAGATTGAAACAGTAATCAAAAATTTTCCATCAAAAACATCAAAAAATCCAGGATCTGATGGCTTACTATTGAATTATACAAAACATTTAAAGAGCAACTAATTCCAATACTTTTCAAACTATTCCAAACTATTGAACAAGATGAAACTCTGCCAAGCTCTTTTTATGAGACCAGCATCACTATGACAACAAAAGCAAATGAAGATACAATATGAAAATAAAACTACACAGGGCTAACGCTGAGGCATAGAAGGTAAAGCCTCCACCTGCAGTGCCAGCATACTTATGGGTACCAGTTCGAGTCCTGGTTGCTCCACTTCCAGTCCAGCTCTCTGCTATGGCATGGAAAAGCAGCATAAGATGGCCCAAGTGCTTGGGTCCCTGCACCAGTGTGGGATACTGGGAAGAAGCTCCTGGCTCCTGGCTTTGGATTAGTGTAGCTCTGGTCGTTGTGGCCATTTGGGAAGTGAATCAGTGGAAGGAAAACTTCTCTCTCTCTGCCTCTGTCTCTCTGCAACTCTTTCAAGTAAAATAAATAATTTTTTTTATAAAAAAGAACTACAGACTTTATATTCTTAAGGAACATAGATGCAAAGAATCTCAACAAAATATTAGCAAATAGAATCCAAAGCCACATCAAAAAGATCATACACCATGACCAAGTGGGATTTATTTAAGAAATACAATGGTGGTTCAACATTTGCAAATCAATAAATGTCATAAATCACATCAACAGCATCATCAAATTACTAGAGGAAAACTTTGATGAGACTCTGTGAGACAATGGTATAGCCAAAAGCTTCTTGGAAAAGATTTCAAAAGCATGGGCAATAAAAGCAAAAATAGACAAATGAAATTACATTAAGCTATGAAGCTTCTGCACTGCAAAGGAAGCACTCAATAAAGTGAAGCAGTAACTGACAGAATGGGAGAGCATATTATCAAGCTACAGAAAATAAGGATTAATATCCAGGGTCTATAAAGAGCTCAAGAAACTCAACAACAAAATATACAATACAATTAAGTAATGGGCAAAGGACATGAATGGGTGTTTTTCAAAGGATGAAATTTAAGTGGTCAACAGATAAATGAAAAAATGCTCAGAATCTATAGCCATATGAGAAACGCAAATCAAAACCACAATGAGGGCCGGCGCCACGGCTCACTAGGCTAATCCTCTGCCTTGCGGCGCCGGCACACCGGGTTCTAGTCCCGGTCGGGGCGCCGGATTCTGTCCCGGTTGCCCCTCTTCCAGGCCAGCTCTCTGCTGTGGCCAGGGAGTGCAGTGGAGGATGGCCCAAGTGCTTGGGCCCTGCACCCCATGGGAGACCAGGAGAAGCACCTGGCTCCTGCCATCGGATCAGCGCGGTGCACCGGCCGCTGATCCATTGGAGGGTGAACCAACAGCAAAAGGAAGACCTCTCTCTCTCTTTCTCTCTCACTGTCCACTCTGCCTGTCAAAAAAAAAAAAAAAAAAACCACAATGAGGTTTCCCCTCACCCCAGTGAAAATGACTGTCATTCAAAATTCAAAAAACAATGAATGTTGGCAAGGACATAGAGGAAAAGGTATCCTAACACACTGACAGCAACCAATCCAGTTAAAAATTGGGCAAAGACCCTCAACAGACCGTACTCAAAGGATGCAATACAAATGGCCAACAAATATATGAAAAAATGCTCAAATTACTAGCCACCAGGGAAAGGCAAATCAAAAGAACAATAAAATATTACCTCACTTTTGTCAGAATAGCTAAAATCCAAAAGACAGAGATCAACAAATGCTGGTGAGGATGGATGATGTGGAGAAAGGGAAACTCTTATACACTATTGGGGTATATAAATTAGTGTAGCCACTGTGGAAAACAGTATGGAGATTTCTTTAAACACTAGAAATAGACTTGACATATGAGCCCACAATCTCACTATAGGGTATATACCCAAAAGACATTAATTCATTGTATCAAAGAGATACTTGCATCACCATGTTTATAGAAGCACTATTCACAGTAGCCAAAACATAGATTATATGTTCATTAATTATATGTATAATTACATTATACATTCAGTGTATTCTGTATTTATAGATTTATAGATTAATTTATAATGTGTTTGCCAAAGTAAAAAATCCAACAAGGTAGAAGGTAGGATTTCAGCTAGGAATAGTTTTACTACCTCAGAGCCCCCATTAAGAAGACATGAAGTCTGAGTTTAAAAATGAGTAGGAGTTTGGCAAGATGAGCTAGAGGATGGCATTCCAGGCATAAGCAACTGTGTGTGCAAAATCATGGAGGTGTGAAAGATCACAATACATTTAATGTAATGCAATACTAAGTTGAAAGTTGGTTCAAAAATTAGGCAAGAATTTAAGGCTGGAAATGCAGACATATAAGAAGTTAAAATAGTAAGCTTAATTTATCAATATAAAGATGAAAATCACTCAAAGAAAATCTCACCAATAAGATGGTCTTCCATATGAATTCCAAATAAAGCATTAGGCAAAATTTGAATATCCTTTAATTTGCTATATTACATCCTAGGACTTTAAAAAGGAAGGCAGAGGCTAAAGTGGAGTACCTTAAGGTGTCTTGCAACTTCAGGATTAAACAGAGGTGTTTTTATATAATGGAAAAAGAGTGTTGCAATTCTTTTTCTGAGCCCTTCAAGGTTATGAGGTTTGACTCCTCTCATCATAAGGTCAACTTCTCTGTCAATCAATTCTAGGATTTCCTGGGTCAGTTTACATGCATGTTCCTATAAAAAATACAAAAATATCAGTATGAAATTTTAAAAACCACTGAGTTTGTTTTCAAAATTTACATCCAGCAAACTAATTCCACATTCCAGAAGAAATAAAACACTACTGACAAGAGTATGAACTGATACAACTAATTTTTAAAAAATTGGCATTATCTAATAATAAAATTTGAAGAGCTGCATAATCTATGACTCAGAAATTCTACTTTTAAGTGCTTCAGAGGAATATGCACATAGATTTATTGTTTACTGTAGCTAAAAGTTAGAACCAAATATCCCTATGTAAATGCTTAATAAAATTATAGCTTATTCATACAATGGAACATTATATAATACATGGAAATGGATGCACTATCATTATCTATAATAACAAGCTCAAATCTTCTACATTAATTTTGAGTAAAATAAACAAAGCACTAAATAATACATAGGTTCTAATTTCATTATAACATATAATTTCATTCTCTTTGTATCTCTGCCTAAAAAAATATGTAAACATTGATTTATTGAACTAAGTATTAATCTTAGTTCAATCTATATTTGCACCCAGTGAATAAATGTGTATTTACATTTAGAATATTCATACTCTATTTATATTCATAATGTACCACAATATGAGAATTCTTAGGTAAATATTAATATATCAATCATATCCACCCCCAAATTATTTTTAAAATTTATTTATTTATCTATTTGCATGCATCTCATAAATTCAACTTTAGGAACATAGTAATCATTCCCACTATACATGCTCTCCCATTCCTCTTCCTCCTCCCTCTCATATTCCCAGTCTTATTTTTACTAAGATGTATTTTCAATTAATTTTATACACAGGAGATTATTCTAGGTAAAGAGTTTAACATTTCATGTGAGAAAGAAAAAGAAAATGAAAAAAAAAATTGTTCCTCAACAGTCCAGACAAGGGCTGTTCAAAATTATTGCATCTCAAAGTTAATTTCACTTTTTTAGCATTATTTATTTGAGAAACTTAATTTTCTTTAAAGAAGAACCCAAAAATGATACATCTTTTGCAAGCACTCAGACAAAAATATAACTTTTGAGACATAAGACTATCCTCCACTTAATACACTAAAATGAAGTAAATCTTTGAGAACAAGTTTTACTATTAACTCTCATAATACAAGTCTTTGAGGACAGAGATCCTGCATGGGAAGTTAATGCACAGTGACTCCTGTTGTTAATTTAACAATTAACACTCTTATGTATGATGTCAGTGATTATCCGAGGCACTTGACATGACCTGCCTAGGCTATGGATGCCTTTTGAATCCACAAACTCCTCCAATATTTCGACAAGACCATAAGCAAAGTGCAAGTTCTCTCCTCCCTTCACAGAAAAGTGCATCCTTCTTTCCCATCCCCAAATTATACCTAAACAATATATTTGTTGATAAAATAATAAAATTTCATAAATATTAATAATCTTTATAATTATTTAATGCAAAAATAATTTGCTTCTTTTAGTATTCAACTTTTGATTGATTGTGACCCCCACACCCTGGAGTTAACAGAAAGTTAACATACCTTCACGGTGTGTTTAAGTGTTAGGAGTACATCCAGCCTCTCATCTTGAGAGAGATTTTTCAGCAATATGCATTTGTAGATGTTTTGAAGTTCTCTGGCTCTGATAGTGAACTGTGTATCCATTTTGATTATGTAGCCATTAGGTGTTCTCCATGTCTTTGGAGCTGAACACTTAAAAATGATATTATACTTACAAGTATCAGTTAATTAAAGGCTAAAACTAACCATTTTTTCCTTCTGCTAAAAGTTTAATATCATTTATGAATAAAAGTATCATTAAAACTTAAGACAATGAATTGAAGAATTTACAAACCAGGCAAAAGTGAAAGTTTTTTAAAGACAATAAAGAGTTTTGCAGTCTGAAGAAGTGAAAACATTTCTACAGGAATTAGGACTTGCTACTAATTGCACTAACTAGTATGTTGAATGGCTTGACAAGTATACAAAATTATTCATTAACCACATGGGGGAGTAGAGGAGCATGCTATTTAGAATGTTATCAAAAAAAATATGCTTGGTTCAATTATATTGGTTGTGTAAGTGTGTCTTCATCACGCCTTTCCAATTGAGGACAACTTTTTGTGGAGCAACTGTGACAATCTTCAATATATTTATGTTTAAAAACATACTAAAAAGGGGACTTTGTGCATTGTGTTTAGGTTTATTTTTTGGTGTCCCATAAAAATAAACCTAAACAAATTAAAAATCCTTCACAAAGCAGAAATCCATAGTGAAACAGCTATACAGTTAGCCTTCTGGATCCTTGTATTTCACATCTTGGAATTCAATCAACCAAAGAAGGAAAATATTTTGGAAAAAAGATTTCATCAGTGCTGAACATGTATAGACCTTTTCTTTTTGTCATTATTTTCAAAACAATACAGTATTAACACCTATTTACATAGCATTTACATTGTATTAGGTAGTAAGTAAACTACAGATTATTTAAAGCAAACAGGAGGGTATGCATAGGTTATAGGCAAATACTACATCATTTTACACAAGGTACTTAAGAATCCATGGATTTTGGTATCCTCCATGGTCCTGGAACCTATCCTCCATGGATATGAAAGACTAAATCATTTTGCTATGCTATCTTACGAGTTCTGTGGTCCCTACCTCTCTGATATTCCCTAAGATTCTCATTTCCTATTTCCCAGTATGCATTGGTACCTCACAACCTAGCTCACCTCCTGAATTGAGAGCAACAGATGGAGTTTACTCTCTTTGAAGCTCATCTGAGGACTCCCACATTAAGAATTCAGAGATCAGAGGCAGTTGTTGATGGAATGAGTCTACAGACTCAGCAACACAAGAATAATCTATAATCATGTTACTTCTGACTACCACTAATTCAGTTCCATCTTACTGAGATTTTAAGAGAAAATATAATCACCAGCTATTTCAGTTAAACCTTATCTATCGTTTCTCTTCACTTTCCAGTATAGAGCTGCTCGATTTCTTTCCCTGATTATAATATTTCAGAAACAAAGTTCTGTTAATCCCAATTCTTAACTGTTCAAGTATCAAATGTTTTTGTAAATTACTTGATGTTCACTTTAGAGTCCATGTAGCTTGCTTTATGCCTATTTTGAATTATTTAATCCTTAAATGTGATATAATTTTGAACCTTAAATAGAAGTTCTATGTATTGGAATAAATCAGCAGGAATGTTGACTAACCAAATACAGGTATAATATAATGCTGTATTTTAAATAACAATATAATAAGTAATTTGTTTAGTTCTAACATCAATTTACTTTCAATTTGTACATTTTATACTAGCAAGATTGCATTGGTAACTGTAAGGCTAATTCTTAAAAACAACTATATCTGATATGTTTTCAGAGTAATGGCATTATATCCTGATGAGAACCAAAATGAGTGTTGTTTAGAGTTAAGAAATTTCACCCAAAAATTTAAATTCTCAGTTTTGATCCAGTAAAGGCAAAGCTGCAGTCCTATAATTTATTTTGTTATTTGATAAATATAATATTAAATAAAACATTAATAATAAAATAGTTTATCACTTAATTATGAGTACTTAGAAACACAGAAAATTTAAATGAATATAGCCTTGTTTTGGACAGACCTCATAATTAATTTTAATACTTATTTCAAAGCTTCTTTAGAAAGTGGTTAGAAAGTAATCTTAAGCTAAGTCTCATATTGCAGTATTCTAAAGTCTATCTAACATCTTAAATCTTTTTGCACGTAATTTTTCTCAGACTGGCTCTATTAAATATAATTTTCTTTTGGGGCTGGCATTGAGGCATGGCAGATTAATCCTCCACCTGCAATGGTAGCATCCCAGTATAGGCCCCAGTTCATGTCCCAGTTGCTCATCTTTGATTCAGATCCCTGTTGATACATCTATGGAAGCAGCAGAAGGTAGCCCAAGTGCTTGGGCCCTTCTATTCAATGAGAGATTCAGAAGAAGCTCCTGGCTTCTGACTTCATCCTGGCCCAGACTTGGCCATTGTGGCCATTTGGGGAGTGAACCAGTAGATAGAAGACGTCTCTCACTGTCTGTCTGTCTGTCTCTTTCTCTCTCTAACTCTGCCTTTCAAATAAATAAATCATATATAAATATATGTATATATAATTTTGTTTTAACCAGAGATACCAACAGTATCTTTTGCTCTACAGGTCAGTAACTTACTTCATTAGTAGTAATCCAAGTGTAATAACCTTTTAATGAAATGTCTACTTTATCTACTTCACTGTATTTTTTCCAGTTGGTAGACTGACTTAACTCTACATTCCTTCCAAGTTTTTAAAGCCCTGTGAAATACAGTATTCCATGGAAATAGTTTAGGCTTTTCTAAATACACTCTACAACAAATCCTTCCTGTCCTTCAATTCTGAATTAAAATCCTTCCTTTTCCATAGAGAGGGCTCTGTGGGAAAATAAGGGGTGATATGAGTAATGACTACAGATAAATAGATAACTAGAGGTTGCTATGAAGCACCTAACCGCTAAAAAGAAAAAAAATGTAACCTAAAGAATAACCGAAAGATAGCCAGATTAAAGGGAATTGAGAGGTATAATCAAAAAATCCTAGTTCCCTAGAGTTGATACCAAGAAGATAGACAAGATCTGTTTAGTAAAACCGTTTTTATACTCGGATGTATTTCTGCAAACAGTGATAACTTAGTCTTCAAGTCTAAGCTTCTTTGATTTTAGGCTTTCAGGTGTTTTTTTATTCTGACAGGAAAACGTCAACTTTGCTTATTTCTCTTTCCATTTCCTTATTTCTTTGAATGAACTGGCTGTAATAAGAGATGTACAACAATCATGTTTTTAAATTGCTTTAGAAGAGAGCAGCATAATAAATTCCATTTAGCTGACAACAAATGAGATAGTACAGGCTCTGAAGGAGAAAAACAGAACAGCAGGGAGAAACATTTCAGTGAGGGTAAGGTGGAGGGATAACAAAAACCTCAAGAGGAGCAGCCTTCCACAAAGAAAAGAAATGACTATACTGTAAAAATATGTCTTTTCTTCCTACTGAATTAGTCTTCAAGTCCCTAAGGGCACAAATTAAGAGAAACCTTAACCCCTCAAAAGCTATTGGGTAGTGATCACTGTTTCCACAGCAAAGGGCCTTTTGTTCATCCATAGTGACACCCTTGTTTACTGTAGCTCTCAGAAAAAGATGGTTGTATTTTTGTACCCATTAGCTGTTGGCCAGCTGAGTATGGAGAAAAAGCATTAAATTACACAGCTAACAAAAATTGCAGTTTTTTAAGCTTTAATTTTTAAGTTTTAATTGCAATTCAGAACTGATGTTCAAGTAAAAAAAAGAAAGAAATGGTCTTGACTATGGGGAAAATAGCTTACAGAAATTCAAATTGTCTCACAAGTTGGGTAAAGAGCACTCAAAAGATATATTAGAGGGGCAAGCACTGTGGTGCAGTGGGCTAAAGCCACTGCTTGCAATGTACACATCCCATATGGGCACCTGTTTGAGGCCTGGGTGCTCTACTTCCAATTTAGCTCCCTATTAATGCACCTGGGAAAGCAGTGGAAGATGGCACAAGTACTTAGGCCCCTGCTCCCACATGGGACACCTAGAAGAAGTTCCTGGCTCCTGGCATCAGATGGGCCCAGCTCTGGCCATTGCAGCCACTGGGGAAGTGAACCAGTGGGTGGAAGATCTTTCTCTCTCTCTCTTTCTCTCTCGCACTCTCTCTCCTTCTCCCTATCTGTAACTCTGCCTTTCAAATAAATCTATATATACATCTATATCTATTATATCTATATCTATATATCTATATTAGAAACCAGCTAATGACCATTCATTCAAATTTTTGCCTGAATTTCTACACATCTCTACAAGTTTTTTAAATTTATTTAATAAATGTCAAATTTACAAAGTACAACTTTTGAATTGTTGCGGCTTTTTCCCCCATAACCTCCCTCCCACCCGCAACCATCCCATCTCCCACTCCCTCTCCCATCCTATTCTTCATAAAATTTTATTTTAAATTATCTTTATATACAGAAGATCAACTTAGTATATACTAAGTAAAGATTTCAACAGACTGCACCCACACAGCCACACAAAGTATAAAGTACTGTTTGAATAGTAGTTTTACCGTTAATTCTCATAGTACAACACATTAAGGACAGAGATCCCACATGGGGAGCAGGTGCACAGTGACTCCCGTTGTTGATTTAACAAGTGACACTCTTTTATTTATGGTGTCAGTAATCACCCAAGGCTCTTGTCATGAGCTGCCAAGGCAACGTAAGCCTCTTGAGTTCACCAACTCTGATCTTATTTAGACAAGGCCATAGTCATAGTTGAAGTTCCTTCCTCCCTTCAGAGAAAGGTACCTCCTTTGATGGCCCATTCTTTCCGCTGGGATCTCATTCACCGAGATTGTTCATTCGGGTCATCGTTTTTGCCACAGTGTCTTGGCTTTCCATGCTTCCGAAACTCTCATGGGCCTTTTAGCCAGATCCGAACGCCTTAAGGGCTGGTTCTGACATCTCTACAAGTTTTAAACATTTCATAATCTGTGGAAGTCACTGCTTGAAGTGTTAAAATTACAAATTATTTAATAATTCAAAAAATCTTTTGAGTCAGTTTTTATTAGACCTTTTATTAAAAGTAAGAACTTAGCATAAAATCAATTATAACTTATTAGTTCAGTTCCTTAAT